CCCATCCCAATGTCCCCAGTCCCCATCCCGACGTCCCCAGTCCCCATCCCGACGTCCCCAGTCCCCATCCCCATGTCCCCAGTCCCCATCCCAATGTCCCCAGTCCCCATCCCGATGTCCCCAGTCCCCATCCCGATGTCCCCAGTCCCCATCCCAATGTCCCCAAGCCCATCCCGATGTCCCCCGCTGACGTCCCCTCTGTCCCCAGGCTCTGCCACCTCTGTGGCCGTGGCCGGGAAGGGCCCCTCGAAGCGGCCGCCGTGGGACCTGCGGGGCCAGGTCGGGGACCTGCGGGAGGCGCTGGGCGAGGCCCGGCAGCGGCTGCAGGAGCTGGAGACGGAGAAACGGGAGCTGGAGAGCGGCAACCGGCAGCTGAGAGAGCGCCTGGAGCAGCTGCAGAGGGAGCTGGGGGACAGGGAGCGCAGGGAGAGCGGTCTCTGCATCAGGGTCAGGTGAGAAATGAACCAAAATCCTGAAAATCTGACCCAAAATCCACCCAAACCCCCCTGCAGAGGGAGCTGGAGGACAGGGAGAGCGGCCTCTGCAGCAGGGTTGGGTGAGAAATGACCCAAAATCCTGAAAATCTGACCCAAAATCCTGAAAAACTGACCCAAAATCCTGAAATACCACACCAAAATCCTGAAAATCTGACCCAAACTCCATCCAAACTGCCCCAAACTCCATCCAAACTGCCCCAAACTCCATCCAAACTGCCCCAAAATCCATCCAAACTGCCCCAAAATCCATCCAAACTGCCCCAAAATCCATCCAAACTGCCCCAAAATCCACCCAAACCCCCCTGCAGAGGAGCTGGGCGAGCGGGAGCGCAGGGAGAGCGGCCTCTGCAGCAGGGTTGGGTGAGAAATGAACCAAAATCCTGAAAAACCAGACCAAAATCCTGAAAAACTGACCCAAAATCCATCCAAAATGACCCAAAATAAAAAAAACCTGACCCAAAATCCTGAAAATCTGACCCAAAATCCACCCAAACCCCCCTGCAGAGGAGCTGGGCGAGCGGGAGCGCAGGGAGAGCGGCCTCTGCAGCAGGGTCGGGTGAGAAATGAACCAAAATCCTGAAAATCTGACCCAAAATTCTGAAAAATTACCCAAAATCCTGAAAAACTGTCCCAAAATCCATCCAAAATGACCCAAAATTCTGAAAAACTAGCCCAAAATCCTGAAAAACTGCCCCAAAATCCTAAAAAACCAGACCAAAATCTTGAAAACTAGCCCAAAATCTGGAAAAGCTGATCCAAAATCCTGAAAAACTGAAACAAAATCCTGAAAAATTAGCCCAAAATCCTGAAAAACTAGCCCAAAATCCTGAAAAGCTGACCCAAAATCCTCAAAACTGACCCAAAATCCTGAAAAACTGACCCAAAATCCATCCAAAATGGCCCAAAATCCGGAAAATCTAACCTAAGATCCTGAAAAGTTACCCAAAATCCTGAAAAACCAGCCCAAAATCCTGAAAACTGCCCCAAAATCCTGAAAATGATGCAAAATCCTGGAAAATGACCCAAAATCTTGAAAAACTGACCCAAAATCCATCCAAAATGGCCCAAAATCCTGAAAAACCGACCAAAAATCCCAAAAACCTGATCCAAAATCTGGAAAAACTGACCCAAAATCCTGAAAAACTGACCCAAAATCTCTTTCAAATCCATCAAAACTTTCCCAAATCCCTCAAAATCCTCTGGAGGGAGCTGGGAATGCTGAGAAATCTCAGAGTGTTGAAGAAAACCCAAAATCCACCCAAAATCCCTCTGGAGATCCCCCAGATGTTCCCTAAAACCTTCCCAAAAATTCCCAAATTAATCCCAAAAATTCCCAAATTAACCCCAAATCCCTCAAAATTCTGAGTTTTCCAAGATCTTCTCAAAATTCTCTAAAAACTTTCAAAAGATCCTGCAATTCCCCCAAAATCCCCCAAATTAGCCCGTATTTCCCCCAAATTTTCCTTTGAAGTTCATGATCCCCAAAATTCCTTCAGAGCCCTTCCAAAAATCCCTGAAATTTCCCTGAATTCCCCCAAAATTCTTTCAGAACCCTTCCAAAAATCCCTGAAATTTCCCCAAATTGCTCCAAAACTCCTAAAAATCCCCAAAATTCCCTCAGAACCCTTCCGAAAATCCCTGAAATTTCCCCAAATCGCTCCAAAACTCCTAAAAATCCCCAAAATTCCCTCACAACTCGTCTGAAAATCCCTGAAATTTCCTCGAATCACTCCAGAATCCCTAAAAATCCCCAAAATTCCCTCAGAACCCTTCTGAAAATCCCTGAAATTTCCCCAAATCGCTCCAAAACTCCTAAAAATCCCCAAAATTCCCTCAGAACCCTTCCAAAAATCTCTGAAGTTCCCCTGAATTGCACAAATATTCCCAAAATTCCTTCAGAACCCTTCCAAAAATCCCTGGAATTTCCCCAAATTGCTCCAAAAGCCCAAAATATCCCCAAAATTCCCTCAGAACCCATCCGAAAATCCCTGAAATTTCCCTGAATTTCCCCGAATATCCCTAAAAATTCCCTCGGAACCCTTCCGAAAATCCCTGAAATTTCCCCAAATCGCTCCAAAACTCCTAAAAATCCCCAAAATTCCCTCAGAACCCTTCCGAAAATCCCTGAAATTTCCCCAAATCGCTCCAAAACTCCTAAAAATCCCCAAAATTCCCTCGGAACCCTTCCGAAAATCCCTGAAATTTCCCCAAATCGCTCCAAAACTCCTAAAAATCCCCAAAATTCCCTCAGAACCCTTCCGAAAATCCCTGAAATTTCCCCAAATCGCTCCAAAACTCCTAAAAATCCCCAAAATTCCCTCAGAACCCTTCTGAAAATCCCTGAAATTTCCCCAAATCGCTCCAAAACTCCTAAAAATCCCCAAAATTCCCTCAGAACCCTTCCAAAAATCTCTGAAGTTCCCCTGAATTGCACAAATATTCCCAAAATTCCTTCAGAACCCTTCCAAAAATCCCTGGAATTTCCCCAAATTGCTCCAAAAGCCCAAAATATCCCCAAAATTCCCTCAGAACCCATCCGAAAATCCCTGAAATTTCCCTGAATTTCCCCGAATATCCCTAAAAATTCCCTCGGAACCCTTCCGAAAATCCCTGAAATTTCCCCAAATCGCTCCAAAACTCCTAAAAATCCCCAAAATTCCCTCAGAACCCTTCCGAAAATCCCTGAAATTTCCCCAAATCGCTCCAAAACTCCTAAAAATCCCCAAAATTCCCTCAGAACCCTTCCGAAAATCCCTGAAATTTCCCCAAATCGCTCCAAAACTCCTAAAAATCCCCAAAATTCCCTCGGAACCCTTCCGAAAATCCCTGAAATTTCCCCTATCCCTCTGAACCCCCTCAGCTCCCCCAGAGCTCCCTCAGAACCCGCCGGGATTCTGAGCTGGGAACCGCCCGCGTTACCCCGAAATCCCTCAGGAGGCTCCCCCGGCGTGGCTCCGTGAGCTCCGGGATCCCCCCGAGCTCCGGGATCCCCCCGAGCTCCGGGATCCCCCCGTTCCAGGGCCGTTTCCCGTTTCTCGCAGCTCCCTGGAGTCGGAGCTGTCGCGGTTCCGAGCGGAGCTGCAGCAGAGCCGGGGCCACGCTGAGGCTCTGGAGGCCGAGAGGCAGCGGCTGCAGGCCGAGGAGGAGCAGCGGCGGCAGGAGAGGGACGATGCCCGGGGCCGGGCGCGGGAGCTGTCGGAGCAGCTGGAGAACACCGAGGTGAGGCCCGGAATTCCTGAGAAATCCGTGAAAAAAGCGGGAATTGGGAGCCGGGGCTTCCCGGATCTGGAATTCGTTGAGGGGAGGGTTGGGAAAAGATGGCGGCGAGCTGTGAGGGAGGGGGGATCCGCCAGGGGGCGCCAAAAAGGGCGGGAAAACGAGGGGTTGGCAGCTATTCCGGCTTTTTTGGCACCAAAACCACTCTAAAAGTGCCCTTAAATGCAGGAAAATGGGAATTTTCAGCAATTCATCTGCTTCTGCCCCACAAATCCCTCAAGGGTTCCTGAAAATGTGGAAAAAAAAAGGGATTTTGGGGCTGTTTTGTTGCTTTCTGACCTGGAATCCATCAGGGGGTGCCAAAAAATGGTGGGAAAATGAGGGGTTTATGCCAATTCCAGCTTTTTTGGGGTTGAAATCCCTCAGGGGGTGCCACAAAATTTGAGAAAAATGGGATTTTTCACCAATTCAGCTGCTTTGGTGCCCAAAATCCCTCAGGGGAGGCTTCAAAATCCACAAAAAAATGGGAATTTGGAGCCATTTTGTTGCTTCCGGGGCCCCAAAAAATGACAGGAAAATGAAGGTTTGCAGCAATTCCGGCCTTTTGGTGTCAAAAACTCTTCAGAGGACCCCTCAAAATGTGGGAAAAATGAGAATTTTCAGTATTTCAGCTGCTTTTACACCCCAAATCCCTCAGGGTGCTTCAGAAGTCCTGGAAAACTGGGATTTCAGAGATGTTCAGTTGTTCTCCAAGCTGAAATCCACCAGGAGCACCAGAAAAAGGTGGAAAAATGAGGGGTTTGTGCCAATTCCGGGTGTTTTGGTGTCAAAACTCCTCAGGGAGTGCCTCAAAATGCAGGAAAAATTGTGAAAAATGGGAATTTTCACCAATTCAACTGCTTTTGCACCCAGAATCCCCGAGGGTATTCAAAATGTGGGGAACAACAACGGGAATTTGAATAATTTTTGTTGGGTTTTGACTCAAAATCCACCAGGGGGCGCCAAAAAAAGGCGGGAAAATGAGGGCTCCACATCGACGCTGGTGAAATCCCTCAGAAAACGCCTCCAAATGTGGGAATTTGCACCAATTTTGCTCATTTTTGCTCATTTTAAGCCCAAATCTCTCGGGGAAGGTCAGAAAACCTGAGGGGAGAAAGGATTTTTGTAGCGGTTTCTGTACTCAGCAGCCGGAAGCTCTCAAGGTGTGGGGAAAGGCCGGGGGTTGTGAGGGGTTGCTGCGCTTGCAGGCCCGGCTGCAGCAGGCGCAGCAGCAGCTGCAGCAGCAGCTGGAGCAGCTGGCGGAGCTGCGGGAGCTGGAGGCGTCGCAGCGGGCGCTGCTGGCCGAGCACGAGGAGCGCATCCACCTGCTGGAGATGGAGCGGCGCCGCCTGCACAACGACATCCAGGAGCTCAAGGTAGGCCCGCGGCCTCCGAGGGGTGAATCCCGGGTTTTGGGGGTTGTTTCTGGGGAATGTTTGTGTGTCCTGTGTGAGTTCCTGAGGGGTGAATCGCGGGTTTTAGGAGTTGTTTCTGTGAAACATCAGAGTGTTCTGTGAGAGTTCCTGAGGGGATGAATCCCAGGTTTTGGGGTTTTTCTAAGGAATGTTTGTGTGTTCTGTGTGAGGGGAGAC